GATGGAGTACGACTCGTGAAGAGTGGAACTGATTTCAGAGAATTAAGTATCGTGGAGCTCAATATTGATGAAAATACCAATGAAGAAGGACGAAATCTTAAAAAAATAAAAACTATAACTGGTTTGTTATTATTATCATTTAATGATTTGAATTTAATTAGTTTGATGAAAAAAGATTTTCTAAATTATTCAATCTTTTTCATAACATATAATAATCATTTATAGTGACACGACGAGAAATTACCTCATCTATCGTCGAAGATGAAAGTCTGTCAGAATTGATTGAATCAGCAACATCAGATATCAAAGAAAAAATGACAAAACCTGTAGCTTACACAGAAACAACATGGGATTGTCGTTCCTCAATGCTTCGTACGCAAGAGACAGCATTTGGAAACTTTGTTGCGGATTTAATGTTTTATGCCTATAAACCATGTATTCCTTATAATATTGATTGTGCTATTTTATGCGCTGGAACTATCAGATCGGATTCATTATATGATGGAGAAATCACATTGGGAGATTTGCTCGAAATATTTCCGTTTGAAGACACAGTTGTTGTTATTCGTGTCACTGGACGTCAGTTATGGGACGTGCTGCAAAGTGCCGTTTCAATGGTTCCTAAACAAGAAGGTCGGTTTCCGATTGTAAGTGGGTTAAAAATAGAATATAATCGCAATGCAGAACCCGGCGATCGTTTGCGAAATGTATGGTTGACCGAAAGACAAGTTGATGACGAAGGTGAAGATGAAAACATATCTGATGATCCTGGCCCACATCGAATTATCGGAAAGCTTGATATGCAAAAGACATATACAGTTTGCACGCGAGCTTATTTGGCATCAGGTAGCGATGGCTACAAAGCCTTCGCTGAACCAACTACACAATACCTTGTGGATGATGAGAATGGGATGATTCTTTCCACTTTAGTCCGACGATATTTCATTGGCCTTTATTACATTAATGCGATAAAGTATAATATGAGCTGTGAAAATCGCACGAAGGAAGCAGTTATTAAGGCCGCTAATTCATGGAAAAAATTTGCCGAGACAAGACGAGAGAAATCAGCGTACGGAAATATATCTAGTCGAAGAATCAGTAGTGCATTATCTCTCTCTATGAGTGAACATGTGAAAGTGCAAGAAGAGGAAGAAGCAACATCTACATCCAATCCAGCAGTGGAAATAGTACCAAAGAAAGTAGAGTTTGTAAGGGATTGGGTTACTGTTGCACCAATGATTGAAGGTAGAATTGTAACCGTGGATTTTTAAATCAGTTGTAAAAATAAATATTTGTTATTATTAATCTATTCGTGATTTTTTAGATTATTAAAACGTGTTAAGCTTTTTTATTTTTACGTTTAAATCTTATTTATCTTATTTTGATTAGTATTGTTTTTATATGTGCTAAATTATATCCTGGTCACTATATCAAGATCGCAGGGGTATATACTCGGTTCTATATTGTATAAATTTTAGTTTTTAAAGAATTCTACAATTGTCGTTTTTAAATCAAATTTCCGAGTAATGAATTACCTGGAGCAAAAAAATATTTAAATTTGTTTATAATGAGTGTTACTCAAAACTTGACACGCCTTATTGAACTACATTAAGGTTTTGATTGAACATTCTATCGTTATCCTTGAGAGTAAAACTTCGTAGTAACATAGTATAACGTCTTCAAATTGATACGCTCGCTTTTTATGAAGCAGCGATGACAGTCGCGCTACACCTTCCGGTGAGTAAAGTTGATAAGTTCTTTAGAAACTGATTTTTGAGATGACTTTAAAAACCAAATCCTAATTTTAAAACCTGTCAGTAGGCTTTCAGAAAGTTCATATGTAAAAATT